CCGTTAGCCAACATTGGTTAGATGTGCCGTGGTTTGGATAGCATGCACTGCTGAATTTAGCTGTGCATGTGGAGAACCTGATATAGGTTAGGCGACGAAGAGCAGTGAAATCGAGAAAATACCTCGGCTCAAAGGCACTGAGGCCACAAAGGGCACGGTCGATATCATGATCGTCATCCATCCACGGCCGCTTATCCGCACATGGGTGGGAAGGCCAGGGTAGGCCGAGCCCACAATCCAACATGAGGGGAAGACGAGTCCTCGAAAAAAACAGGCGCCCACTGTTTGGCCTTTATATGCTTCGGCGGTTGCCGAATGTAGTAATTTGATTTCCGAGTCACGTCTTCTGGCGCGTCTCCTCTCTTTCTTGACCTTCATGGGACCAGGGTATGGGTGTCAAGTCCTTATGGAAGCTCCTCACCCCCGTCGGGAGACCCGTAATGTCGCGCTTTTTCCAAATTTTCTGGTTCTCCGTGATTGAACAACTTTTGTTACAGGCTCGAGACCATGGAGGGCCAGATTATGGCTATTGACTCGAGTATCTGGATCTACCAATTCCAGGCTACTATGCGCGACAACGATGGGAAAGCACTATCGAATGCCCACGTTCTTGGCTTTCTACGACGAATAGCTAAACTCTTGTTCTATGGAATCAAGCCTGTCTTTGTTTTTGACGGAGGTGCTCCAGCTTTGAAGAGAAATACCCTCGTATGTTTCCGTATGGTCTCAAATCCCGCCTTATTTATGGTTCTCAGAACGAGCGTAGACGTAAGAAGAGCGGAGCGGCGACCAGTCATGCTAAACTCGCCGAAAAGCTCCTTGCCGCTCAGCTGAGGCGAGCGGCCGTAGATCAGGCCAAGGGTTCCAAGTATGTACAACGCTCTTCTCGGAGTGATCTTGGCTGAACAATTTCGGCAGAAAGCAGGCTAAAAACAAAGGCAAAGCACCGACTGGCCCCGTTGTACTAGACGATAATACCGTATATCTCGAGGACATTGATCCCTCAATTCCCAAGGCATCTCCGCGAAAATCAACGGAAACGCCTTTGGGATCCCCTAGCAAGCCTAAATTCCACGATCATGACCCATATCGCCTTCCAGCCATCGACCTTGAAGCTGCTGTTGCAAAGGCAACTCGCGCTCCAGTCCCTGATCCTCGCTTAGCCACTGAAGACGAACTACGTGACTTTATAGAGGACATGCGTCCCGAAGACTTTGATGTCACGTCGCCTGCCTTTCGCGAGCTTCCAACCGAAGTCCAGTACGAAATAGTAGGCGACCTTCGACTCAAATCGAGGCAAACCTCGTATGCGCGGTTACAAAACATGCTCAAAAGCGCTCCGACGCCGCTTGACTTTTCGAAACAGCAGATCCTGAACCTAAAGCAGCGAAATACCTTGACGCAGCAGCTTCTCATGACCACCGACAGTATTGGAAAAGCCAACATTACCATTCCTGTCCGCGTTGCCAGTGAGCGGAACAGAGAGTACGTGCTGATAAAAAATGAGGGCAGGGATGGTGGGTGGATTCTTGGTGTTAGAGACGACGGGACGCGAGAAAAGCCGATTGAAATTGACCAGGACGATAACAAAGAGAAAGACATCTCCGAGGGCGACAGCGACGACGATATGGAGGACATGGAAGAGGTTATCATGTTCGTATGTTTGTTTACGCATTAACAACGCTGACCTTCCGACATCTAGACCTTCAGCTGGCATGCCAGACCCCGACTTGCAAGAGTTTCAAAGATCCATGAATCTTGCGGCCATAGCAAATCGCCACGCGAAACAGCCTCCACTGCCAAGAAAGCCTGCGGCAGCCGCTCCAGCTTCACAGCCGCTGTTTGATTTCGACAACAACGTGGCTGCCACAATCGAAGATGACGATGACGACGAGCTCGCTCTGGCGATTCAGCAATCCATCGAACAAGACCAAGGCGACCACGTCGTTGCTACCATTGACGATGAAGATGACGGAGAACTCGCTATGGCGATCCAGCAATCCATCGACCAAGCCAAGAACCAGGCGTTTGTGCATCGGCTACGCCCTGTGCAGGTCAATGCAGTCGCGTCGTCCTCCAAGCTCGTCGACACAACGCCGCGTAGGACGTCCGAGCCTGTTAACCATTATTCTCACTACGCCGAGGATGCTTTCGTACATGGAAGCAGACTGGAGACCGCGTTATCTATCGGGAATGCGGGACCCGTGCGGACGCCGACGAAACCCAAACTTACCCCTGCGAGTTCTATGTTTGGAGAGCCGGTTTTGCTCCAAGCTTCGCCTGCGCCGCCCAGAGCACTGCCTTCACCTTCATCTTCATCGAGGCTGCCGGTAGTCCAACCTGACGAATCCCGGCTTCACGCAGATAATATTGCGAAGGAAGCGGTTCCTGAGCTACGAGCTGCATCATCGATGTTCGGGATCCCTGTCTCGCAGCAGCAGCAGACTCCCAGGCCCTCGACGCCTTTGCCACCGGCCGCTGCAAAATTCCCTCGTGTTTCTGATGATACAGCGGACATGGAAGAGGTATTACCCCCTCCTGAGCTAGTAGGAATCGGCCCAGTCTCGTCGATTGTAGCTGCGTTGGCGCAACCTGAGTTGACGGAATTGGACGATGAAACAGCTGCAATACCTTTCACACCATCTACACCTCTACAACCTCAAACTCCTGTACCGCTGGTTGAGGATATTGTTCCGGATATCGACTTGCCCGATCCATTGCTTGTGGGCGAACTTCTTCCAGCAGCGGTGGCGGAAAAAGATCATTCGCTAGTCGCACCCGACGAAGCAGGGCCTGCACCTCATGGCGACCTCGTAGGAGGTTCTGTTGCGGCGCCCGTGCTCCAAGATCATTCCCCCGAAATGGACGCTTTACCTCCACGTCCTTTTACAAGAACGGAATTGGGAGAGGACGATGAATCTCTCAGCGGCTGGTCGCGGTCCCCTTCACCGATCATTGGGATAGATCAGCCCCAGCCGCGGGCGCCTTCCCCTGTTCCCGAGGCCTGGGATGCTGCACAAGAGATGGATCCAGTCGCTGAAGAAAGCGAATTCGCGCAGTTCATGTCGCAAGTCAAAGGCAAAGACTTAGACGAGGTCCAGCAAGAAATAGACGATGAAATCAGAGTCTTGAACGCGCAGAAGAAGGCCGCTCTTCGGGATTCAGAAGACATTAACCAGCAGATGGTATCGCAAATCATGGTGGGTGCTTTGCATTGAACGACTTGAAGTGACGCAAATCCAACTACGAATAGATGATGCTGAGTTTATTTGGCATTCCGTATATCACTGCGCCGATGGAGGCTGAGGCACAGTGTGCCGAACTCGTCCAGCTGGGCCTCGTGAACGGTGTGATCACCGACGATTCAGATGTGTTTCTCTTCGGCAGCCAGCGTGTATTCAAAAACATGTTTAACCAATCAAAGACAGTCGAGTGCTTTCTCCTCTCTGACTTGAGTCGCGAACTGGGTTTGGATCGCGACACATTGATTAGACTTGCGTATCTGCTGGGTAGTGATTACGTTGACGGGCTTCCTGGCATCGGGCCAGTCGTCGCGATGGAACTTCTAGACGAATTTCCTGGAGAAGACGGACTGCACAAATTCAAGCATTGGTGGACGAAGGTGCAGTCTGGGAAGGACAAGCCCGAGGACCATAAATCTAAATTCAGGAAGCGATTTGTGAGTGTCCCTGACTTTAAACAATGTCTCCTGTATTCAGAATATCACAGAAGACGAGATTTAAAGATCTTTATCTTCCTCCGGAATGGCCCAATCCGACTGTCGTATGTTTTTTTTTTCACCTCGTACGCCGGTTCTGAGGGTGTTCAGAGGGATGCGTATTATCACCCCACCGTCGATTCGTCAGAGGAGCCTTTTAAATGGGGTTTGCCTGACCTTGATGCTCTCCGAGAGTATGTGACGATGTGTTCCTGCCATCCTTAATCAAGCTCTGACTTTGTTCCAGGTTTCTATACAACGAGCTCAGCTGGTCCCCTGCAAAAGTAGAAGAGCTTTTACTACCCATCATACAAAAAATCCGCCAGCGTGGACAGGTATTTTAAAATAATTCTTCTTTGCATGCAGCTGACGTCTCCGTAGAGTGGCGCATTGAACAAGCAGGGAGACCTCACCGGTTATTTCGATATTACTGGCAGCGGCACTGTTGCTCCTCGCAAACGCCAAGCATATGCGAGCAAGCGTCTGCAGCAGGTCGTCTCCGACTTCCGGAAGAAACGGAAACACAGCTCCAAGTCCCCAGCGACTGAGACGCCAGAGGATCATTCTCAATCCGAAACTGACGATAACGTCCCTCGCAAGAAGGCGAAAGCGGGGAGAGCCAAGGGTGCAGCTCCGAAACGCGGAAGTGGCCGTTCCCGTGCGCGTGGCGCCAAAAGCGGTAAAAAGGCGGTCGTTGAGGATCAAGCGGAATTTCAGGGAGATGCGGGAGACGGCGAGTCGGGCCCGGCACAGGTAGTGAAACTACGTCCAAGACCCAAACCCACGTACAAGGGCGCTGCAGTGGATACGGAATCTATGGATGAGTCGTAGACTAATAATATCAATCACCCAGATCTTCGCGGAGCCTCGGAGCACCCATGCACTATTCAATTACTGAGAAAACCATGTCTTCCTCATTGTGCGCGGAACGTGAAGAAATGGTGACAGAATACAGCTATAGTAACCAGACAACGTGTCAACCCTGGCCTGTGGTCAAACCCCAGGAATTTAACATCGTGATGCTTTGACTCCATCACCTTAGTTCCAGTGTGGTTCAATGGTTATAGCTGGAACCGATAGAATATTGATTCAAAAAAATGAAATGAAATATGCAAGGGCCCGGAATCGAACGCTCGGCCTTCCCAACATGATATTTCCAAATTGGGAACTGTGATCGACCGTGATGCCATCCTTCCAATTCGGTACGGCGCAGTTGGAAGCGCGGGGCCAAGCCCGCCGATAAATTCCTGCTCCCCACCCTGCCTCTCCCTTTCATTTGTACAGCAGCATGGCGCAGTTGGAAGCGCGCGGGGCCCATATCTATCACGTGATTAACCCCGAGGTCACTCGATCGAAACGAGTTGCTGCTATTTATTTTTGAGAATATTTTGGACTAGCCCAAGCAGTACGAAAAGAAAGACTCTTCCAACTGCGCCGTACCGAATTGGAAGGATGGCATCATGCTCGATCGCCAATTTGGAAATATCACATCTGGAACGTCGCGCGTTCGATTCCTGGACCTTGCAATTTCCTTGGTTAGAGCAGAGTATCTTTCGAATCAACTTAAGCTTGAATAGCATTCGAAGTACAGAAAAGTTGTTGTAAATATCTTCTTTCGTCAGTTATCTGGCATAGTTCAACATCGACTTCCTTGCTTCAAATTATTCGATCATTGTCGAAGACGGTACATTATGCGAGAGGCCCATCCTGGTACATCATTGCCCACAAGGGTGCGCTCAGCGACAAGCTGACATCGATGGCACCGACATCTCCTCCCGTACCCATCTCTTCTGTTGGCAGAAAGTAAGCCAGTCCATCAACCAACGAACTCTGTTTGAACGGCGGCGAAACCAGGACGGGCACAAAATCCAACCTCGAGCCCGCGTACATGTTGAACTTGTTCCATTGGCTAACCATGAAACTTCCATTCCCGTACTGGAACCTCTCCTCAATTTTACGCGCGTCGTGCTGCGCTGCGATCCACTTGAGACTGCGGTCAATTTCATCCTTCTGGCTCAAGAAGCTTGAATGTGTCACGTCGTGCACAACCTTGGCGACCTGCTAAAGCGGGCCGCTGGTAAGAACATCGACTGGAATGGTTGTATTCGAGGCGAAAAGGGTGTTGGGGAAATAGCATGGTGGGAGGCCCAGGCGGCTACGGAGATTGACGGGCGTAAGGAAGTCCGTACGAGATAGCTCTCCGAAGTTGGCGTCTTTTGCGTGCAGCCGCAATCGCGCCTGATGAATACGTTGGTAGATATAGGCGGACAGCACATCAAAGGTGGATACCCAGCCACTGCCGCTCGGGTCCGTCGCCTGCGCCTTAAGAGCTTTCAGCCGAGTGCTATAAAAGCGTATGAAACGCCCCTCGACAGCATAAGGAGGTGGCGGGAAGGCAGATACGGACGAGGAAGGAGTCTCTGCTGCGGCGCTCGTAGGCGGCTCTGTGTGGAAGAGCGGTGGTTGAACGTCAAGAGCTGCTGACCGTTCCTTCGGCTTCATATTGCCACCAATCAGGTCCGACATATGGGGCCGGATGTGGGGAGGGTGAGGCAGCGAGGAGATGGTTTCTGAGGACTGGAGGCTGCGATACAACTGTGCCAGATCACACGCCAACTGGAAAAAGCCATCGCCGTCGCACACTGTGTGATGGACCCGCATGCCCAGCGCGACGCTGCCGCATGAGAAGCGCGTATGCTGAACGGCAAAGAGGGGGTCACGGCAGACACCGTCTGGAGTCGCATCAAATGGAGCCAGTAGTGCGTTACTGGCCGCAGGTAAGTCCTGCATCAAAATGCGACGTGACGTCAGGGAACTGGGGCTGGGAGAAGAGAATGGATCGAGCCGTTGGCTGCACCGAGCTTCAAGCAGTTCAGCACCAGTGTTCAACCGAACGATTTCGCGCATTCCGTTGCTCAAATCGATTTGAAGGCGCCCAGTGAGTTGGGGGTAGTAATCCAAGAGTAGTTCCAAACCGCGTTGAAGGCGTTCAATTGGGATTATTTCGATATTAGAGTTGGGTTGTGCATAGACCTAGACAACTTGTATCGGTACGAAACCTGCGACTTGATCGAATGGCCCGAGCCGAAACGGCGAACCGCCTAGTGCTTTCCACGACGGTTCGTTGGCACAGAGCACCTTGCGCCGCGACGTAACACTGACAGAGTCCGGGGATGTGCTGGTCATGGTAGAGGCGAGAGTTCGTAGCGAGTCAGCAGCGGCTCCGAGTCTTGCCGTAAGAAGCTGCCTTCCGAGAAACACGACCGTAGAAAGCGTTCGCCTTGTATTATGTATAACTCCGATTCCTCGAAGACTTTGAGAATAGACCAAGCGTTCAAAATAAACAGCAAGATCAAAAACGCCGGTCGCAGCGAAGGACCCAGCTTCCTTTTGAGGAATATCCTTTGGGGCGATATTTTATTTGAATTGCAAGAGTCTGTGGTATGTCGGGAGGTCCTCCAAAGAGCGAAACGAGCGCCAAATGAAAGCTGACCGCGATGTCAAGCCAAAAGTTTTATGGAAACTTTGCTTATGGGAAATGTCTGTTCACCGGAACCAGAGGACGCCACGGTTTTGGATACCGTAGCACGCGAGGCGCTAGAAGAGACGAGGTTGCCAGTGGTGGTTTCAAAGGTGTTGAGTGAATTGGCGGATATGAAACAAGAAGAGGAGTCGAAGAGGAGCAGCAACGCAGCTCAGCTTTCTGGTCCGCGTCGAGTGCTCTGAAGGATCCCAGTCCTTGGCTCCGACACTCAACACCAAGCCTACGTGTGGCTCGAGTCCCTCAGCACCCTTGATTCGCTCCAGATGACTGACGGGATGAAGGGGTGGTGGAAAATGCCGTCAAAGCCACGATGACTCATGAGTGAGTGGAGCCGTTTATAAATTTCCGAGACAGTGAAATTGAAATTGAGTAAACCAATACAGCACAGAGACAGAGAGCGATGTACGATGATACGGTGATGCATTAGAGTACATGGTAGCAGGATTAAAGAGGCCAAAATTTATAGAAAGGAAAAAAATAATAACGTTAAGTAATGAAAGTCGTCAGTTTCGTTGGGGCACCATCTTCATGGGCCCAGCTCTTCGGGATATGGCGTCGCGCTCGCGCCCATCCTTTGACCGTGGACCCGGAATCTGTACAAGCAAGTGAACGCGGGGCTGCCCCAGTTGCTCTTGACCACCAGCGTCACGACACCAAAGTCGATGCCGAGGGCTTTAATCTCCTGATCGACGGGGAAGGTCTGGATGTTGTTGCTGGAGTGCGCATCGTATCGGAAGGACGCGATGCGGATGTACTCGACCGCTTTGGGGATCAACTTGGGACGCTCGGGCTCGTCCTCGATGATTTCACCGTCTGCCCGACGTTGGGCCTTTTCTGCGCGCCAGGCCTTGAGTTTGACCGTGTTATCCGCCCCCTCAATCAACCCCCACACTTCCATGTCTTGTGGTGCACTCGCCCGCGAATTGAGTGCCGCCTCAACTGCAACATGGTCGATCGTGATGTCCTCAATGTATACCGGGGCTGCGAGGAAGACACCCAATTGGCCTTGGGATCCAGCGAAAGGCCAACAACGTCCATCGTGGATGTCGTAGTGCAGAGCAGTGATAGGGGGGAGGCCAATGGCGTAGCCGTTGCCGGTAACGAACTCTACAATCTTGCCACCGATCGTTGACGCATGCACATCGTACGTGGGACTAGTGAGAGAGGGGATGACTTGCCCGCCGCTGGAATACAAGGCGAAGTCTCGGCGGTCGTCCTTTCCTATGGCCCTGTTGACGAGTTCGGAGATTACGGCGGTGACATCCTGCCCGTCGGTACTCTTGATGGTAAAGCCAGATTTACCGGACTTGCTCCACCAAGCCGAACCGACTGAAGAGCTCACTCCTTTCTTGGACGCATCGAGCGCATCGCGAACACCGCCTTCCACAGATCCCACGCGATCCTCGAGCGCCTTGAGCTTCGCCCGAGCTTCGGCATCGGTCCCAGCTGCTCCTACCCCTCCTCCACCTTGAATATTCTGCACCAGCGCCTGCAACGACTCCAATTCCTGCTTCACACCTTTGATCCCCAAACCCGCCGCATCCCGCACCGCAGCCTCCGCCTCGTGCGTGCGTGTGCTCTCCCGCTCCACCCGCGTCTCCAGCGAACCGAGTTTTCCCACCAACTCGGCATTCATCCGCAGCTCCTCTTGCAATTTGGTCCGTGTCCGCTCCGAATCCAGCACCAATCCAGAAAGCGCAGTTTCCATGCGCTGCAACCGCTCCGCGATCTCTGCGATGTTGGCCGCGGGGGCAGGGGGTGGGGTATACACACCGTTGCTGCCCCATGGAAGCCGAAGGCCCAGGTCCGGTACAGCGCGCAAGGCGAGCAGTACGATGCCGATGATTAATGCATATTTGAACAAGGGACCTATCGGGCTGCGAGCTGCGAGCCTCGCAGGTCGTATGAGTATGACATCGATCAACGTACCCAGGACCTTTCCGAAGAGGAGGAAAACGGCGTGGAAGAAGGTGCCGATGAAGGCTCCGGGGGCGAAGGAGCGCCGAGAACCGGTTGACGGTCCACGAGAGCGAGAACGAGATCGGCGCTTAGGAGCGGCATCTTCCTCCTCGCCTTCTGGTATTGAGGTAAGACCCACTTCCGCGTCTTCAAAAGAGGTGTCAGGAATTTGTTCTGGATGTTGTTCTGGTTGTTGGGTGGACCGTCGCGAAGGGGGCGCGGACGCTCTAGGTGCGGATTGCTGGAGGAAAGTTAGCTGTTGAACGAACCCCGAGACACATTGAGCTAACCTTGTCGGTGCCATGCGAGTCACTATCAGAACCTTCTTCGACCTCGACCTCGACCTCACCCGCATTGCCCTTGCTGGTTCTCTTTGCCCTCTTCTTTCTCTTATCATAGCCAGCGACTGGTAATGTGGTCAACGGCCCGCCACCCAGCTCCTTCTTCTTTTTCTTCCGCCGTTTTTTCTTGCCATCGTCGTCGATGAAATCCTCATCCGACTCGGGATCCGACGTCGATGGTTTGTATGCCTTGTTGTCTGTCGACATGCGATTGCGCTTGTGATTTGCAGCGGCGCGCTTGTTCTGGCTGAGAATATCGCGCTCCTCGGCGGAATAGTCGTAGCTGCCATTGACTTGTACCGGCTCGTCCGGTTCGCGCGACCGCTGACGGACATAGTAGGTGGCAGCGGCAACAGGCGCGTTGATGATAGCGCGTTTGGCGGCACCAATGACTTGGTCGAACGGACTCTTTCCTCGCCCATTCTGCTCTGGCGGAGGATCATCTTCGCCCTCAGAGTCGGGCACGTGTCGGAGAGATTGGGCTTTAGAGAGGGGTTTTGTGCGGACCGTGGACGGGGGCCGGGCC